GTCGGTAACGCGTCACGCATAAACACACCTCTGAAGAATGGTAAACGCAAACGATACGCCGCGCGGCTCAACTGTTCGTTCGTTGTGATACCGGTGGGCGGTATTTTAAGAGTCTCTAACGTTTTCTTCCACGACGGTTTTTTTACCTCTTGCCTTTCTCTTCCTCACGCTACCACCACGTTTGTAGGGCGCTAGATACAGTCCGCGACCTTCCGACTGACGTCGAGCGGCTTTGCGATCGCTCACAACTCTCGCTACGCTCGCCGGTCCACCGATCAAAGATCCGAGCGCACCTAACATTGGTAAAATCGGTAGGACACCTCCACGTTTCGTTACTGGAAGTAGTCTCTTCCTGTTCGTTTTTTTTCTTCTTTTCATATCCATCCCTAATTTTGTTTTTGCTTTCATGGCTGCCCATACAGCGGTTGCTGCAGCTTTCTCACCAAACGTCGAATTACTCGCTGTTATACGTTCGCGTGCTCCTTCGGCGAGAACTCGATCAGCAATGTGACGATCGGCGAGATCGTTACTTCGCGAATAGGCGATATCATATTCGCGACACGCCGCGTCTAATCGATTTATACCTCGATCACCACGCGCTAGTCTTTTCACGAGACGAGTACCGGGTCCATAAAATTGATAACCAGGTATACGTACTTCAAACGGAAGCGCGTTTATTGTCTTGTCAAGTAAACCCGCATCATACGTAGAAATTATTACCCCCTCCACGCTATCTTATCTCATACTACGGCGACATATGTCGCAATCTTTGATAAGTGGTGGTGGAGGACCGTCTATGTGTGTTCGTTGCTATGACGATTGTAATGCTCTATACACAGACGACAGCGTTACATTTCAGGATCCGTTTTTAAATGTTCGGGTAATCGATCCCACAGTAGCTCCATAATTCTCAAATTCCTGTAGAAGAAGAATCTTCGGTATGTATTGCAATTGCTCGGCGGTAAAATCGAGAATCTCACGTTTATTCGTCAGTAAGAAAGACATTTTTTCGATAACAACAACGACCGTTTTTTTACAGTAAACTGTGTGAATCGAGCGCCTGCTCAGGGATATAAATAGTGCTGAAAAACTCGCTCGCGCTACATCGCGCACGCGCGTTATACGAGTAAATGCGATTCGTACGACAATCACGAACGATAGGAGTGTCGAATCTCGACCGCAAGACGCGACTCATGTCCGATGGAGAGATTCGTAGACACGGCCCTCTACTACCAAATACAATTCGTTGCATCATCTGTGGACCGTCCAATTGTGGTAAAACGAACACTTTGATAAGTTTGATAGAAAGTCCACATAGTGTACGTATCGAAAATGTCTACGTGTATTCGAAATCTCTCTTTTAACCGAAATATCGATATTTGGAAGAATTACTCGAATCGATAAATGGTATCGGCTACTACGCATTTTCCAACAATTGTGACGTCATACCACCGAAGGAGGCACTTCCCAATTCAATATTCGTATTCGATGATATGGCTTGTGATAATCAGAATACTATTAGAGAATATTTTTCTATGGATCGACATACGAACATTGATTGTTTTTATCTCTGTCAGACGTATGCAAAAATACCGAAACATTTGATACGCGATAATGTAAATTTTTTGATACTATTCAAACAGGATGGTACTAACTTAAAACACATTTATAACGATCTCGTAAACACTGATATATCGTATGAGAATTTTTGCACGTTGTGCTACTTATGTTGGCAACACAAATACGGTTTTGTGGTAATAGACAAAGATAGCGCATTACACAACGGTAGATACAGACGAGGATTTAACGATTTCGCTGTAGTGAAAAATCATCTGTAGTGTTTTGCAAAAAAAAACAGTGAGCAGTACTTCTTTACGATAAAAATGGTTAGAACAAAAAGTCTCTCCGAACGGGAGAAAACAGCGAAACTGATCGCAAAGACACGCGCGTCGATTCGTAAGAAATACAGAGCATTGAAGACTGGTATAATGGAGAAGGAGATCGTTCTGGAGAAACAATTAAAACCTATTATCGAACCGTTGAAACAAATTGCTGGAAACACTGCACGTGGAGGTAAACCATTTGAAACTAAGTTTATGGAAAGTAAGCGAAAGAATAATAAACGTGAGTACAGTGATGACGAGGAAGATGATGACGACAACGACGACGACGATGATAATGATGCAATTCCAACACAAATTACTCCTCAGCGTCTTCCATGGAACAAACAAATAAAAAAGAAACGATCGAACGTCATGCCTGATTCATCCATAATTCATTTCACATCAATAGAATCACAACAACACAACAAAAACAACAAGTAACTCCTTTTGACTCGCAGGACGAAGTTTTTGAATTCGGTGATGATCCATTGAAACGTCTGTCAGACAGGTGTTGAACACATCTCAAGGTCGTCAGAGATTGCAAAGTCAATTAGGACCGTTAGGACAAGTATATGTGAATACTCTTTTAATTGGCAATGCAAAAAATGAAATCGATCTTGTCTACGGTGTTTATTTCAATGAAAACGGTACGATGTTGGGTAATAAAGAATTTGACGTGGATACGGACGACACTATAATCATAGACAGAGTGAGGTACAAAGGTACACCAGGTCTATACGAGCTGATCTTCAAGAAGATTCCAAACGACACCGAGAATGATAAACAAACATACAAACGTATTATTGACGACGAATGCTCACAGACGTGACAATAACGCCAGAATGCTTATTAAGAGTAACAAGGGACACAAATACAAAAACATTATTGCCCGGCTCTTAGTTACTCATAAAAGAAGTGTCAGTGGCACGAGTATTGGTTCAGATATAAAGACAAATATACCATCCGCTGTGCAAAATTGACTGACAATGAAATAAATTATGTTCATTGGGACGATCCCAACGAGTTGGTGAATCGTCTTCAATTGCTCGATGCTTCTCGTGTCGAGCGGGTAATAACGCTCACGATAACGAGATATTGTCGATAATCGAAGAACTCCGCGAAGCTGGAATAATTATAAATTGAATCGTGGTGACGAAAATTGCGACAGTGGTCAGGTTCGCGCGAACTCGATATGATGTCTGTGAATAAATTTGGTATGCCTATAAAGAGAGATGATAGCGATGAAATCGAAAAGTCGCGATCGTCGATAGAATCTTTACAAAATTACGTACACGACAGTGGGCTCTGTCTGAATCCGGATCATTACGACGCGAAGAAACGAAAAATAGAACACGTAGCCGCGCCGGAGTTCGACACCGATGCGGTAAATGAAAGCTACGTCGAACGCACGCTTCGAGGTACGCGAAACGAGATCAAGGAATCATTTAGAATGACAAGGATAGATATACAGGAAGTGCGTAACGATATGGAAAAAATGTGAAGAAACGTGGAAGAGATTAAGTATCTGAATCGAAATGTAACTGTACAAATGAAAAATATAGTGACTAATGAGATATCGGAGAGATCGTTTACAAAACGACTTCAAGGTGTGGCGACGAATAAAGAGTTGGAAAAAAATATTTTACAGTTGCGTCGCGAAATGGAAAGAAGAACTTCGCGAAATTGAGTTTAAAGTATAAAGTGAATCGTTGTGACGAAAACCGTGATTCGCGCGAACTCGATATGATGTCTGTGAATAAATTTGATATGCCTATGAGGAGAGACGAAAGTGAAAAATCGCGATCGTCGATAGAATCTTTACGAAATTACGTACACGAGAGTGGGCTCTGTCTGAATCCGGATCATTACGACGCGAAGAAACGAAAAATAGAACACGTAGCCGCGCCGGAGTTCGACACCGATGCGGTAAATGAAAGCTACGTCGAACGCACGCTTCGAGATATGCGAAACGAGATCGAGGAATTATTTAGAACGATAAGGAGAGATACGGAGAAGATGCGAAGAAACGTGGAAGAGATTCAGCATCTTACTCGAGATGTAACTGTACGAATGAAAAATGTAGTGATTAACGAGGCATTGGAGAAATCGTTCAAAACGACATGGAGATATGATCGTACGCGCGCTTCAGGATACGCAGAAAGATATCTCGAACGATGTGGAAAAAGTGCGAAACGTGGAGGAAGTCTCGAAAAGTATAAGCGCGCTATCAACGAAAGTGTCCAACGAGATTCAGAGTGATGTAACTGATCTGCGTCAACAAATGCTTAATATGGTGACGAAAGAGTTGTTAGAGACTAACGAAATTCAACGAGGTGTAACTGATCTACGTCAACAATTGAATAATACGGTGATGAAGGAGACGTTAGAGAAACCGTTTAAAACGACAGGGAGAAATATTATCGTACGAGCGCTTCAGGATATGCAGAAAGATAGTTTAAAAGTGCGTAGCGATACGGAAAAAAGATATCCGACGCTATCACACGTCTGACTCGGATGTAACTGCACGAATGAAAAATATAGTGACTAACGAGATATTGGAGAAATCGTTCAAAACGACAGGGAGAGATATGATCGTACGCGCGCTTCAGGATACGCAGAAAGATATCTCGAATGATGTGGAAAAAGTGCGAAACAACGTGGAGGAAGTCTTGAAAAGTGTAAGTGCATTATTGATGAGTGTCCAACGAGATTCATCGAGGTGTAACTGATCTGCGTCAACAAATGAATAATACGGTGACGAAAGAGACGTTAGAGAAATCGTTTAAAACGACGGGGAAAGATATGGTCATGCTGGCGCTTCAAAAATTATTTGACGATATTCAGATATTGCATCGCGGTGTAAGTGATCTGCGTCACCAATATTGACGAAAGTGTGTAACGAGAACGAGATTCGGTATCTAAATCGAGGTGTCTACGTATTCAAACACATCTACAGTTATCGCATCTAGGAAGGTTTAAAAGATATGCGCAAAGCTTGTTCCTGTCATAACAGAGAGAGATAAGTGTCGAGAAACGAAAACTCGTGAAAGAACTTCACGCACCTGCGCGAAGAAATTTTCCACGTCGTCGCGTCGTGGTGCACGATCGCGATGATTTATGGCAAGCCGACGTAGTCGAGATGCGTCCTTATGCGCGATTCAAAAAAGGTTACAATTACATTTAACAGTTCTCGATGTTTTGAGTAAATACGCATGGGCTCTACCACTCAAGAGCAAGAACGGAAACGACGTAGCCGCAGCGTTATCTAAAATATTTCGCGAGGACGAACGATACTCACGAAACCTGCAGACGGATCAAGGAAAGGAATTTTACAACGCTACCATGCAGAAAAACATTGTTAAGAGATACAACATAAATCATTATTCGACGTATTCGGTGATGAAAGCGTCGATGGTGGAACGATTCAACCGCACACTCAAGAATAACATATGGAAAACGTTCACGTTAAACGGCTCGTACAAATGGATCGACGAACTACCGCGTCTATTGTCAGATAAACGACTCTTGTCGATGGTATAGTCATGTAAAAATTGCCGCTCCAACGAGGCTCAAGATAGGCGATCCAGTGCGCATTAGTAAATTCAAGACAAGTTTTGAAAAGGGTTAGTAGGTATACTGTAGCGGTTCTAACTCCGGTCCTCTGAGGGGAGCGCGGGGCGCGGGGATACTGAGGCGAGGGAAAACGGGGATTTTCGGTGGTGGGGGTATGACGTCATGCGGAATGGCAGTAAGATTTTGGGGACTGCAGTCACGTATAAGACAACAAAAAACATCACAAAAAAAGAAAATATTGCCATGAACAAAAAAAAAACAAATACTTATAGAACGAAAAGTGTTACAAAGGGTATATGCTCCAACCGTTTTTCGACCAAGATATAGCGTAATGTAATTTTTCTGTAGAAACAATATTTATTAATTATTTTAACCCTTCCGTCCACTACGGGGGTCTTTTTCGACCCAAGCGAAATTTCAAAGTGCTGTAACTTTTGAAAACGGGCACTGAAGGCGCCATATCCCCTCCCTGATTGTTACTCGCTAATTATGATATTATGATTAGGACTTCAAGTTGAAGGTTGAAAGAAGTTCCATGAATTTTTTCAGATTTTTTAAAGCACTTTTACTAGTTCAAAAAACGCCAAGACGATAACGACCCCCGTAGTGGACTGAAAGGTGCCGAAAAAACATAGTGGACGGAAGGGTTAAATACCTAAATACAACCAAATTTTATAATTATTGAGAGTAGGTATAGTAGGCGAGTTCTAACTCTATGTGGCTA